GCAGAAATGTAAAGCGCATTGAGACAATGTAATGTTGTGATAATGCGCTATATAAATAAAATTGAATTTTAAAATCTCTTCTCTTTTCATACCCTTGTAACTGTACTGTACTATTGCTTGTTCCAGTCAAAAGAACAGTTCAGGACACATTTCACTCTCCCATCTTGTGTGCGGATGTGTGCCTCTATCTGGTTATGAATTACAGTTTCACGTGCTATTTACAATAAATTTCACTGCATGTTGTACCTGTATAACTATGTATGTGACAAGTAAAAGAATCTTGAATCTTAAATGAAAAGAATCTTGAATCTTAAAAGAATCTTGAAACCAGCCAGGCTCTGCACAGCAGCTGCTGAAGGGTCCTGCTTGTGGAGGCCTGTACCCAGGATCAAGCTTCATGATCGTATCTAAATCATATTGTCCCAGATCAGAACAATAAAACGCCCCCAGATTCCTGTGGCCTTGCATTTAAACAGCAAAATGGAGCAGTCTGCCTCCCTCAAGGAATAGTGCTCCATACCTCCAGCGAAGGTAAAGTTTGCACTGTAAACTGGAGTAAATGTTATGTGTAATAATTATTGGTCAGAGCTTACACTTAGGCAAAGCAGGCCAGCAAACAGGTCTCACTTATTCCATATCTTGTTTTTAATCCATCCCTGCCCATCATACTGCCCTGCTGAGGGCTGCCTTCATATATGTCAACCTCCACCCCCAGCATATGATAGTATTGCACCCCTTGTACTCATATTTTCGGTCTGTGTGGATCACTAGCAGAGAAAACATGGTGACCACTGCCCTCAAGTGGCTGTTGCTTATAACTGCAGAAATATCTTTGTTTTAAGCACCCATTACAAAGAGAACAGAACCAGACAGGCAGGCAAATGCACAGAATCTGCTTTATTGCTCACTTTCAGGCCATGAACTCGTAGGGAATTGGTTCCAGCAGCTGTGGTTGGTTTTTCTTGGTGCTGACAAAATGGGCAGGACGAGGTGCTGCTGGCTGCAAGAGAAAGACCAATCAGGCTTCACATAGCCACAGACCTGCCAATCAAGGTGAAGGGCAATGCCTGTTGGTATGGTGGTGGGCGGGCACACTGTGCTCACCTGGCGCTTGAGCTCCACCCAGGTGCCGCCCTGCTTGGCCTCAACTTTCTTCTTCTCGTTTTCCTTGACACGCTGCAGAAAGCTGTCTCTGCTCTTAGAGTGCTTGATGTGCTCGATGCGCACATTGATCCTCTTCGCCAGGATCTTACCCCTACACACCAGGGGGGGGTAGCACGCATTAAACAGGGACACTGAGGTGATTAAACAAACACCCATATGATGCTGTGCCCTCTGACAGAGAGGCTGGACTCAGAGTTCGTCCGCCTGCTTGCTGGATGGAGGACGGCTGCTGTTCCCGCCTGAATGGCCAGCGAGGGCATAGGCCACCCCCGCAGCAAAGTGAAGGCGGGCTCTCCACACACAGATGCACATGTTCTATACCAGGGCTGTCAAACTCCAGTCTTGGAGGGCAGGAGCCCTGTATAGCTATAATGCTTTCCCTGTTCCACCACAAATGATTTAGCTCAAGAGATGTGTGGTAATTAGCACAAGGAGATTACACTCATTTAACACAACTGATTAAACCAAAAACTTGACAGTCCTGCTGTATACTTGAGTTTGACAGTCCTGCTGTATACTTACTTGACTTGCTTGTTGACAATGATGCCAACGGCATGCTGGGTGACATTGTACACACGACCAGTTTTGCCATGGTAACACTTGTGAGGCATTCCCTTCTGTATGGTCCCAGTACCCTGAGAGAGAGGGAGGCAGTACATCAGTGGATCTGTGGACAGCAGGGTGGCACCAAGGGGGGCAGCTCAGGGTGCTTTCAGTGCCGGTGAAGTCTCTTCATTCCACTGTTATGGAGATCGTTGGAGATGGTCATCATGAAGCAGCGTAATCTTTTATATGCCCTGAACAGGTGCTAACCTTGATGTCGACAATGTCCCCCTTCTTGAAGATGCGCATGTAAGTGGACAGCGGGACAGGGCCTGGGAAAGAAAGAGGGGAGGGCCGGTAAACCACATCACAATAGCAGGAGAGAGAAAGACAGGACCACCCATACTGCCCCACACTCACCATGCTTCCTGAAGGGCCGTGAGAACATGTACCTTGTACCCCTCCTCTTGCCCCTGGTGTTCGTCATGGTGTCTGTTCAACTGCAAGGATTATTTTTAAAGGCCGTCTTCAGGAGAGGAGCAATGAACCTGCAGATCACCACTCAAAGCACACCTCCACCATGAACCAAATTACCCAAAGGTACATTCACTTTTTTACATCAACATTCACCTTTCCAAGGAATAAACATCGATATCCAAGTCATTACATCTGACTACAACTCACATGCTATCAGTTTTCCATGGTCTCTTGATAACAATGCAGGTTAAATTCGTCGAGACATTTTCGCTCATTTTTAATATTTAGACGAAGATACGTTTCCCGATACAGGATGAAGGTACCAGCCAGAGCCCGGCAACTTTCTAGCCGTTATCCCTCCTCAGACTGCCGGATAGCGGTGTTCTGTCGAGTTGAACTACTTTGTCGAGTTAGGCTACCGTAGTGCTAATCGACAGCCCTAACCGTAACCCTTGCCCCAAGAAAAACCCTAAAACCCTTAACCTAATGCCCTAAAACCTAACCCTAATCCCAAAGCGGTGGAACTGCACATGCGCAGAAAGGCTCGATATCAAGTCTCCATATGTAGCTCAACTCATCAGAACACCGAAGCTGACGGCACGTCATTCACCAATAACTCATGTATAACCCTGAGCACTCGATACGGGAACCCGAGAGCCTTGATAAATAATTGAGAATTAAATGGCATATGCATTTAACAAGGCTACTGCCTTGCCTTAGGGTAGCAAACAGTTGCTAACCTACTAAGACTTCGAGTTTAGCCCCAGCGATACGGTGCACATGGCCCACACGCCACAGTCAAATCCCGTCTACGAGCACCACAACCTGGTACGACCGCGTCTACAAAACACCCTAATGTACCAAAAGCTACTGTACATTTTTTTCATCAATTATACGTCAAGAAAAGCGAATTTAAACCATATTTAAAAGATTATACAGAAAAATACAGTGAGCTCGTCTTACCTACGGTCTATCACAAGATGGCCGGTGCAACGAAAAGAAAGATGAAAGGACCCCGACTCCTCCTTCAACTGGAAGAGTTAGGTGTTCTGTCAGCCGCCTGACAAAAAACAAGGACCCCGGGCTCCACCTTCAACTATATGAGAGTTAGGTGTACTGTAAGGTGACTAACCAAAAAATAGCATAGACGCTGGATGCTTCCAATAGAATTCAGCAAGAGAAGGAAGGTTTGGTCTCATGTCGCCTGATTGCCGTATTAAAAATGGCCTCGTTCTTTTGTTTCTCATTCACATAGCATTAAACAGACAGTAAATGTGTTAAGTAGGATTATGAAAAACATGCCTTGATCCAGAATGTGTTGCATTCGGCCTCGGTGACGTGTCGTTCATGACTACACGTACACATGTTCCCAGAGAGAAAACTGTTTGTATATTTCAGCAATGGAACACAAATTGCACAGCTACAAACACAAAGGGCAGAATTTCAAGACAAAGTACAAAGACGATACAATATCGTGCACTGATGAATAAATAAATGGGGAGACATAAAAGTAACGGGGTGTATGTTGCAATGTTGTCACACCCAGTGCGTAAGTGCCCCGTATACAGCTGTGTGCCAGTACCCCATATACGGTTGTGTGTCAGAGATTTTGTCAGTGCCCCGTGTACAGCTGTGTGTCAGAGACTGTGTGTCACACCGCACACATTTAATGACACATATTTAATGACAAAGATACACCAGCAGGTACAAAAAACCCACAGACACACATACAGGCATTAATTCTCCATAGGGAGCCAGTGACTGGTTTATTCCGACCTCAAGATCACCCTTCCCTCCCCATCAGTGTGCTGGGCTGGACCCGGGCTTGTTTCGCATCCTACGGGGGGCTTCAGATTTTCAGTCTACGGTGTCTCGGGCACCCCCACCCTCCGCAGCTCGCACAGTCGCAGTCGGTGGGTCTGCTCACGTATCGGACACATATCGTGTCCTGCTTTCTGCGCACAAAGGACTCCCTCCTGCCGGTCGCAGCCTCCTCTACGGCTCTGCGCTCCCACCTGAACCGCCGCCCTGCCTGACATGGAAGAAGTACCAGCTCCAGCGGGCATTTAGAGCCGGCGCTTCGCCGCTGACAGCCAAGGTACGTCGCAGTATGAATGACAGACAGTCGGAGATCTTAATTCAAACCCCTGTTCATATTACATGTACTGCTGAAATGGACGCACGAAGCCGCATCGCCGCCGAAATGGCCGGTTTGTTCTGCATGATGTGCAGCATCCAGTGCGGAGATGTAGGGGAGGAGGATGCTGCGGGAAAGTTACAGATAAAACGCCCCAGAGCGTTTGTCTATGGCAGGATCGGACAATGTCTTTTAATATAATATTTGATATAATCGTTATTTCTGGTTTTTGTGTCTGCCTGATAATTATATGATAAATATATATTTTCACTGAATACGGTTTCCTGCGATCCTCATTGTTGAGAAATTTCATCAGAGGCTTCGTGTTTAAAGGAAATATCGAAGATCCGAACATTGATCATTATGTACTTTTTTTTATCATATATATAATTTAGAGCAAGTTGAATGAATATAGGGCTCATGTAAGCGTGTGTGAGCGTCATTGTGTGCATTTATATGTAATGTGTGTATACTGTACGACTGCTTGAATTCAAGTATTTGGGTTGCCCGTAGCAAACATACATGTTAACTGTGTATTTGTTGCACTAGTGTGTCATTAATCAGCCGTTAAAATGCCTCTTCCAGACAGAGGGTGTGTATGCTGCGTGTGACATAGGCTTGCTGAAGGCGTGTAGCGGTTATCGAGTTGCCGGCTATAGGAAGCGTGTGCGTTGTGTGTGAATTTACCGCCTCCACTAGTCGAGTCCGTATGTCATGTTCACCACGCAGAAAATATCGGCGGAAAGTGTGTAACCGCACATGAACGTCGCATTTAGTGCACGACTGAGTGGATATGGGCCAATAGCAGGACAACGACGTTGAGCTTTTGTGACGAATTTCGTTGTCGTCTGTCTTGCCTAGACAGCTAGAATAATTTAGAAACTATTAAGGAGCTGTTTTAAAGGTTTGGTGCTATTCCTTGATCTGTAGAGGTCATTGTCATCTTCATCGCAGCTCCATTCATGTATCCATCCCTTCCTGATCAATCCATCATTCATCCATCCATCCATTCATCTATCCATCCACTGTCCATCCATCCATTCATTCATCTGCTGAGCATCTCCCTGACCCTAGCTCCTGATAAGTAATGGCACACCGTCTGCTTTTTGCAGACGGGGGGCACTATGAGTGAGTCGGTGCCAGTCACCCCGAGCTGGACAGCCCCTGACCCCACCTGGGCCGGCGAGGGGACAGCAGCCGGGAACGTCAATGTTGCGACGGCGCCCACAACAACACCCACGGTGCGCGGCGCAGCTGTGCCAGTGAACCCCTGGGACGTGGTGCTGTGCATCTCAGGCACACTGATTGCCTGTGAGAACGCTGTGGTGGTGCTAGTGATCTGGCAGAACCCAGGTCTGCGAGCTCCCATGTTCCTGCTGATTGGCAGCTTGGCACTGGCCGACCTGCTCGCTGGCCTGGGCCTGGTGCTGCACTTTGTCTTCGCCTACCTGCTGCGCTCAGACCCGGCGCAGTTGCTCACTGTAGGGCTGGTGGTGGCCTCCTTCTCGGCCTCCATCTTCAGTCTGCTGGCCATCACCATTGACCGCTACCTGTCGCTCTACTACGCGCTTACCTACAACTCGGAGCGCACGGTGACCTTCACACATGTCATGCTGCTGCTGCTCTGGGCTGTTTCGCTGGGTCTGGGCCTGCTGCCTGTCACCGGCGTCAACTGCCTGGCGGAGGAAGCCAGCTGCAGCGTGGTGTGGCCACTCACCAAGAACAACGTGGCTGTGCTCAGCGTCTCCTTCCTGCTGCTCTTCGGCCTCATGCTGCAGCTGTACGTGCAAATCTGCAAGATCGTCATGCACCACGCCCACCAGATCGCGCTGCAGCACCACCTGCTGGCGGCCACGCCGCACTACGTCACCACACGCAAGGGTGTGTCCACATTGGCGCTCATCTTGGGAACCTTTGCTGCCTGTTGGATGCCCTTCACTGTCTATGCGCTGGTGGCCGACTACACGTACCCCCCACTGTATACCTACGCCACGCTGGTGCCCGCCACCTACAACTCTGTCATCAATCCACTCATCTATGCCTTTCGTAACCAGGAGATCCAAAAAGCTGTGTGGCTGGCATGCTGCGGCTGTGTGCCGCACAGCGTGCAACGTGCACGCACCCCCAGCGACGTGTGACACCATGGAGGCTGGGGAGGGGGGTCGATATTGTGTACATAATCGCAGGTTTAGGCTGTTACACCGAGGGGGTCAATATCATGTACATACTTGCAGGTTTAGGCTTCTGCATCATTTGCTTTTGTGAGGCTTTGACTGTTTATGAATGTCTCTGGCAGAGCAGGCGGGAGTTCTACCCAGAATGCCGCTGGGTGGGGGCCCCTATACCCAGAATGCCGCGGGGTGGTGGGCAGGGGTCCTTATACCCAGAATCCCAAAGGACAGTGAGAATCCCTGTAGTCAAATAGGTCAGGGGCAACAAGCAGGTATCACCATATCCAGAATACCAAGGGGCAGTAGGTCAGAGTCTCTGTACCCAAAATGCTGTGGGCAGATGCAGTAGATGTCTGAGGTGATGCAGACATCCATTCCCAAGCTGCTGCTACACTCTAAATGTGCACAGAAATCAAAGGACTTGGGGAAAGCGCAAAATAGGCTGGTGAGCCACAACTCACCATCCTCTCAGTGCCACACTCTGCTTGTGCCCATTCCCGACTCAAATGCCCTCTCAGTGCCACACTCTGCCCGTGCCCATCCCCTGCTCCCCCGCCCTCTCAGTGCCACACTCTGCCCGTGCTGGTCTCTGACTCACCCACCCTCTTAGTGCCACACTCTGCCCGTGCTCGACTCGCCTGCCCTCTGAGTGCGACACTCAGCCTGTGCCCGTCCCCAGATGTGACCCGCTGTCCTTGGTGCCACACTCAGCCTGTGCCCTAACCCTAACCGCAACCCTTGATGTCGCCAGCTAACTGCTAATTCAATTCCATTTACGCTATTATTCCTATTATTCCCCAGTACTTTCCGAGGGTCTTTAACCATACAGTATTTTTGTACTCCTCTCTGGATCAGTATTCCAGAGTCTCTGATGCGCTCTAACAAAACAGCAGGCACAATGTGGGTATGGTCACGGCGCTGAGGGGCTGCAGCTGCATCCCACTCAATGATATTCAGACAGAGGCTGTACTTCCATGGCCTGTTTGATTCGACAGGTCAGGCTTGGGGACTGCAGCTCTGATGGCACAATGCTGGTTTCTTCCAGAAGGATCCGTTGAGCATGGAGGTTCAGTACAATGGCAGGCAGATAGTTGGGGGGCAGCGGGAGGATCACATGGAAATTAACAGACGGGTTTGGGCTAGACTGATTCTCTGCTTCGGTGATAATAATCATGAAAACCAACTAAACAGCAATAAATGCCCAATGCTTGCATTTACGGCTGGGATTGGGGTTAAACCGTGTATTTAAGGTCAGGATTTTGGTTATAGTTAAGCTCACACCCAAGTCATATATTTACTATCAGCCCTGGACACAGCTATTCTGAAGATCCACCCATCCCATGTTTCCATGGCAACTGTCAGACAGCCAGCAATAACGGGTCTGACCACCATATTGTAGAGATTACAGCAATATCCTATGAGCAATAAGAAGCAGGAGGAGAGGGCGGCCAGGCCTGAGCAGCAGAGCACACAGCCAGTACCTCACTGCTCAACAGTGAGGCCCCCTGCTGGCTCATCCCCCAAAGACAACCCTGATCACTCTCTCTGTGCTGTCACATCCAGCCTAGCAGGGGGCGCTCCAAGCTGGCCAGGTGAATCATGCTGCTTCCTTGGCCCTTGACCTTGTGATTTTTCTGTAAGTTCACCACCGTTTCCATGGGAACATGCAGCCGTCTTCCTGTCCTGCCCTCTCCCACCACCTGCCCCAGCGTGGGCTTGCTTTTTTGGATAGACGTGGCCGCTGTTTTTGGATACAGAAGTGACCCTACTGCAGCACAACTCCGCCTGTGACCTAAACCTTTCCAGAAGAGTCTCTATATTTTGTAATATTAATGATAATAGTTTCTATTTTTCGCAGCCTCCATTTACCTGCAGCTGGCCTCCATTCGGCTCTTAGTGTGTTTGACCATGCACCAGCTTGTGATCGTCTGCTAGCCTCTCTGCACTCAGGCTTCCTGCTGTGGACAGCAAGCGTCTCCCTGGAGATCCTGTCACATGACCATGATCTGCCATGAGTGAGGGATCACCAGCCACCCTGACTCTGTGCCCCCCGAGGTCCCAGTGGGATGTGGGGAGAACTCCCCCTCTGAAGGCAGGGGCCGTCGGCTGTTGTATATACAGCTTTAAGCTACTGAAACATGACTGCCTCCTCCTGCACTGAGCTCATTAATGGCCTCCCAGTACTGATAGGAGTGTAGGGGCCCCACCGATTGGCACTGGGCACAGGGGCTGCTGGGATGTATGCCGACTGAGCCATGGACTAACACAGCAACTGCATCGTATGTAGATGTTTGCATAGTGAACTGTGAGATGCACTTTATTTCCCAGCAAGAACCGGCACCGCCGACCACATATCTGCAAAATAGATGAAACCCGATAATCGACAGGCACTAATTAACCAAGATGTTGTACCATATTGTGCTAAACAGTGGTGTATATTTTTTTCAAGGTGTTTATTGTACTTTTATTGCTTTGTTAGTTGACTTAAAGGATCTTGTTAATTTTGTATTAAACTGTGCTGTGCATTACAAACAGTTACTGATTTATTTCTTCCATTCATATTCGCAGAGCAAGAGCAGTGTTAACCGTGCCTGGGATACACCAGAGCCTCAAAGAGAAAACTACAGATCCCCCAGGTGTCGCTAAGTGATAACAAATAGCTATTTGCTAACTCCAGGCACCACTAAGTAAAAACAGGGCATTTATCAAACCAAGAACGCAAAGAATGTACTTGTGTTCTAGGCAACTTGCCTCCCAAGTACAAACTTGGGACACAATGAATCGTGGGATATTTCTCATTTGAAAGGACGCAGTCAATGTATCCATGGTATTAGGAGCTGGACAAGAAGGACATCAAGGATTTCTCACCATCCTCCGTACTATTGTTCTTAAGTATTGGGGTGCAATTAATTCTTGGATTGTTCTTGTTGGCAGAGATGCAACCAATGGATCCTTGATATTTGGGATGGGGNACCATCCTCCGTACTATTGTTCTTAAGTATTGGGGTGCAATTAATTCTTGGATTGTTCTTGTTGGCAGAGATGCAACCAATGGATCCTTGATATTGGGGGGGGGGCAAGAACAACATCTTGGGATTTTTACTGTCCTCCAGTAAACTATATAACTTCTGTTATTGAGATTTGCAACTGTATTTTGGTAATGGAAAATGTCATCAAAAGGGTATGTGAGAACATAAGAGCGGGAAATATGCATGTTGATAAACACAGACAGCTGTGTGCTAACCCCAGGCATTACTAAGCTTTTAGCACTAGGTTCTCTCCCACCCTCCACGTGGGCTGAAGTCCACTGGTTGCCCCCACAAAAGGCTGCAGAGGGCGCCAGGGAGTCCGCCCAAGGCTGGGGTCCTTCCTGCCCATGGTTGAGTACCCTGGAGATTGTGCTGCGCGCCATTCAGATACAGCAGAGGCCCTCTCTGTTCACACCTGATGCATCATGGAGACACTGTGGGCTCTGGCCCTGCGACCCTAGTGGACAGCTTCCCCTCCCCCAGCCTATCAATCGGACCAGTCGGCACCGTCACCGGGCTCAGAATCGTCATCCGAATCGCTGTATTCCACGGCGATGCGGCGCGACAAGATGGTGGCCACATCATTGCCGGCGGGATCACGGCGTGCCTGCTGTTCCTGCTCTTCCTGCACCTTCTTTAGCTGAATGCCTGCAGGGGCCACACCAGGCATGTCACGCTCTGACCTCACACATGCACATGCGCAGCCGGGCAGACATACACTCACCCATGCGTATCGCAGCAAGCAGGTCGCTGCGTGCATCACCCATTGGCTGAGTCTCGCTAGGTAGAGGAGGGCCAGGGGGTGGGCATGGGGGCCCCGGTGGGGATGGGGCCGCCATTGGCGCCATAGCGGCAGGAGGAGGGGCCAGATAGCTTGCACCCGCCACCATTGGTCTGCTGACGGAAGGGGGCAGAGGAAGTCCCCCGGGGGGTGTAGCAAAGGCAGTCTGTGCTGATGGTATGAGAGGGGCGGGGGGCAGCCGGGGAAGGGGTGCCCCATAGAATTCGAGCATCGAGCCGGAAAACATTCTGGGGGGATATCAGAATGGGGGGGTGGGGGGAGGACAGACAGTCAGACAGAGAGAGAGACAGAGATGGGAGAGTTAAGGTGAATGCAGACAGACACAGACACACAGGCAGACAAACACAGACACAGACAGAGGAGTACCTGTAGTCAACGGGGGGGACGGGCATAGTGCCATCCACAGCCTCCGCTGAAGGAGGAGGCGGCGGGGGCTGATGTGGTCGCCCCAGCGTGCCGCCCCTCTGGCCCGCGGTGGTGCAGTGGTAATCATGCTCTGTGATGGGGGCGTGGTTTGCCAGATGCATGTGACTGAGGCCCACGTGATTGGGCGTGGCCAGAAAGCTGTGATCTGAGTGGTCCGAGGCATAGGACCTACAGAGCCATGGGAACAAGGGGAAAGAAAGAGGGGAGAGTGTCAAATGTGTGCATATTCCTGCTGGCTTTTGAAAGACAGGAGTGACCGTAGCTGAGGCTGCAGTTCCACCTATAGCCAGCAGATGTGCAAAGATAAAAGGTGATCTAAGGACAGAGACGCAGATTCCTTACTGGGAACATCCTCACCAGTTATTTTTCACACCGGTACATCATTTTATCACTGTGGGGCTGTTCTATTTGAGTTAGGGCCTTCCAATACACCATACGCTCCTTTATTCTCTGGAGTATGCTGTATTGGTTTACTCCTGCTCTGAATCTCCACCTGGGCACCCGCCTCTCTCGACCATGCAGTTGCATGCCCCCTCTGGCTTTTCGGGCAGTAACGGTGCACTGTGGCTATATCTGCTTACTGTCACACAGAACAGCAGGTCGTCTGCCAGTCACGGCTCCCACGTAACTGACCTTCACGCCGATCGATGGCTAGGGAGGTGGCCTTGCTATTTATACAGACCGTCACGGTGTAGAGTGTCAGACCTGCTGTCGGGGGACAGGGATGCCTCAGACTCCGCTCCCTGGTGGACGGTGCGGTAATGGCAGCTGTCTGGCCGCAGCTCCTTGTCGAACGCCATCATTTTCCACTCCTGGCGCCGGTTGCGAGCCTTGCGCACCTTCTTTACCTCCCGTGGCAGCGTGCTGTCCACCCCACGCCTCTGCTCCTGCCAGTGGGAAGCAGCAGATACTACAGTGTATGATTCTTTGCTGGCCTGGACCCACAGGGCCCTGGGAGGGACAGCGGAGGAGGAGGAGCAGGAGACTGTGGCCCACCTTCTGCCGTCGCTTCTCCTTCCTCTTGTCCTCTGTGTCCTGCAGCATCTTCTCCTTCCACAGGTCAAAAAAGTACGAGGGATCAGTGTAGAATTTCAGGCTATCCCTGCAGTCATCCCTGCAGACAGACACCACTACTGTCACATGCGTAGTTACTGGGGGGGTGGGGGGGCTGTGGTGGGGGGATGTACCTATAGGGGGAGAGGATGCTGAGGGGTGGGGGCTTGTCACTGAAGCTGTACATCTCAGCCACAGGGATGGGAATGCTGCCCTTGGACACCACCTGCTGGTCCTGGATGGTAGAGCTTTTGAAGGCCTTCCTCATGTTGATGTCCTGTAGGGACACTGAGGAACAGAGACAGGGTTACACAGGAAGCGAGTTATCAGCCGCAGGTTTGGAATGTCCCCTGACCCCTAACTCACCCTCCTCCACAGTAGAGTCCAGCTGGGTGACTTTGATGGCAAGCCGATCAATGCGTTCTTGGAGGGAGTTGGCCCGCAGGAAAAAACTGCTGGCCTCATTGAAAAGCTCTCCAAAGATGTCCTCTGCGTGTTTACCTAGAGGGGGCAGTGAGGAGCAGCTGAGAAGCCATAAACAGATAAAAGATTAAGAATAGCTGACGGTCTGCTGGCCTCAGCTGTGATTGGCAGAAAGCACTGGGAGTGGAGCTTACTCAGGCTGCTGAGCTGCCGGATGATGGCTGATAGGCTGTTGTTGGTGACGCATTCAAGTTCGCTGCTGATGGCCTCGGGCAGGGCACCCTGGCACAGGGAGCGGGGCTCCACACTCCTCTTTAGCAGGGGCATGGTCGCATCAAGCACACGCACAGCCTGTTGGGAGATTATGCAGGCTTAGGGGTCACATGACCTACCCCCACCTGCACCTAATGAGGCTTATCCAGGCAGGTTTATGGCATATTTTGCAAGAGCTCATGGAAAATATCATTAAAGTTCACTGCAGACAATATATAAAATGATAAATCAGAAATTTGTCTGTCCTTCACCCTGGATCATCCTTAGTACCTTATATAGTGTATCTGTGATAGTGTCACACAGACAGACAGACCGTGTGTATGAAGCTTCCCTTGTTTCCCATGAAGCTTTTGTTACTATAATGCAGATGCTCCCGTCGAATATGATGTGAAACAGCATACTCAGGTGTTTAGCACACATAATGAGCTCTGCAAAATCTGTTTAAACACAAAAAACACAGTAGGATACGTTCTTATATAGTGTATGATTGCTACAGAGACTGGACGCGTGGCTGCATGAATGATGCTGTCGCCCAGCATCAGTAGAAAGTATCGCACAGTATATGGCTAGCTCAGGAACAGTTCACAATTCAAATGTGGCTACTGAATGTGCATTACGATCGCACCATCGTAAAGTCAAAATATCTCAAGTCGAGCCATAGTAAGGTGGGAAGCATCATGGGAGCCTGAACACTACATGTCAGGAGAAGATACCTGCACACACACACACAGACAGGGGGTGTTTCTCAATACTGACAACACAAAGATCATACTCGTGGTCTTGGAAAGAGCGGTCTTGCTACCTTGCCTCCCAAGTGTGAACTTGCAGTGCAATGAATCGTGGGATTGGCCTCATTCGGTGAGGATACAACCGACGTATACTTGACATTTGGGGCGGGGCAACAACAACATCCGTGAATTTTTGCTGTCCTTTGTACTTCTGTTGTTAGTATTGGAACTGGTCTTCAGCAATGGAAGATGATGTAAAACAGGTACATGAGAACATTAAGACTCCTCCTATATCACTGGTCACCTCCAGCCCTTGTGCCTGGTTCTGCCCCGGTTGCTCCTATCTGCCTGATACATATGGCATGAGTGATGCGATTCTATAACAGAGGCTGGAGTACCAGTAACACAGGCCACCACACTGTGACAACTCCCCACTTCCTGTTTTGCTTCCCAACTTCTGGCTTCCCGTCCTTTTCCATGGTCCAGCCTCTAGTTTCCTGTCTTTGCATTAGGAGGGAAAACAATGATAATCTGCAAGCCTGATGTTTCCAAACGCCATCACCACTGGGCGTAACCCCCCTTCCCCCACCCAGCTGTTGCAAATAACCCCCCCCCCCACACACACACACACACACTCACTGTAAAGTATAGGTCATCCAGCCCCCACCAGCATGACCCAAGGCCCCTCCCACAATCCTTTGTGCCTTAAAGAATACCTCTCCAATCATGCTTTTCAACAAAAAAAACCCACAATGCAGACAGCAAATCCCCCAGTCCCACCCCCCACCTCTTCAATCACAACCAGATGACCAGCGAAGAGTTGGAGAAGCAGATTAGCTGGCTGTCTGCGGAGATTGGGGTGGGCGATGCAGGAGGACTCTGGATCAGTCACTCCATGTAATCACAGTAGTCAAGCCTAATGAACCACATTCAAACCAAAACTGAGAATGACAGATGTGTGTGAGGCCTGTCAGGGACGAGGCCGTGCTTGTGGGCAGGGAGCTCATCAAAGACAGACGGGAGGCAGCTGTGCCTCCCCCCCACCTCAGAGGGCCGGCCTGTCAAGAATCCCCGAAAGGGGGACCCCTTTGAAAGATCTCCCAGAACAAAAGATCCCTGTTCTCAAAGCAACAGGGGCATTCTCCCATTCCTTACCCCGCCCCTGCCCCCCAGCTAGGCAGCAAGGGGGGCACACACACACACACACACACACACAGGTTTGTAACTGAATCTTTGTGAAGACTTTCCATTCATATCTATGGGGAACTTAAACACACATGCACGCACACAAACACACACACTAAAACCTCCATTTCAAACTTTGAATGGTCAGAGTTTAAAACACAGACATACACAGGGTCCCATGCCATCCTGCCTGCCCCCAGAGACCCCCCCCCCCCAACGGCTTCCTGTCTCACCCCCCCATCACCTCAGTGAGGAATGCCGTCTTCCTTCCTGCCCCCCCAAACTCCTGAAGGGGGATTTTCATGGGGGACATGATCGGGGGTGTCCGCAGCCTGGACCGATACACGGTCTCACAAATAGCCCTACAAAGCAAAAGTGTCCTAAGAACCAAGCATAGTGCCGAGGCAGAAATGCTCGGATCAGACCTGGTACCGAAGCAGGGTTGCTCGGATGCCCGGGTCAGAACGTGTACCGAAGCGTGCTGGCCCGGGTCGGAATCGGACAGCCAATGGTTGGACGCCCCAGCATCACTGTTCACACGCGTTCACACGGATTTACACGGATACACCCACAAGATGCAGATGTAACCTGTAAACTGTGCCGGGGGCTCAAATAACAGAGGATAAGACGGACAAAGCTCAAAGGATAAAGCGGGATATACGAAAAAAGTGGGAGATACGGCTGAAGAGGGTTTAACACGCCGGACGCATCATCACACTTCGAAAAACAGCGATGGGACCGAGCGAGCACTATATACCGGCACCAAAATAGTTAGTGTGCATCCGGCACGGCGGAAAACAACGGTTTTTAGAGCAGCGAGGCAATAAAGCGGTAAGATGCTTACCTGCCGTCTGTCTGGGGATGATACCTAGCCGGCCGCCTCGCCGCTTCGGGCGTCCAGTCCGGCGCTGGGCGGGACTCTGACCGTGGCTCCGCCCCGACCGGCCAATCAGCGGCCGCGGGAAGGGAGCTGTTCACACGACAGCCAATGACGGTCCGAAGTAACGCTGAGCGACAGCAAAACTTACTCCGCTCAGTAAATCGGGATATGCGTCTGAATCCTCAAGTTTGCATGCGAAAGTAAGTGGGGCAATAGTAGATGGGATTGTTAATGCAGGGGAGCCACCATACTGAAACTGTGTGTGACGTCTTAGCACATAGATCCATCACAAAGCACAAAGATGTCTGTCTAATCTCAGCCAGCTCCTGTGGTTCACAGTGACTCCCCTGCCTAAGCAGCAAGCAGCCTGAAGGCTCCCAGAGGAAGGGGAACAGGATGCAGCACCACCCCACCCCCAAACACACACAGACAGTGCCTGTATTTCTATCTTCATTGGGTAGCCATTCGTTAGAGGATAACCCTAATCCTAACTATGACAACCCTAAACCTTACCCAGCCCTATCATTAACCATAAATAACCAAAGAAAAAGATTTTTGACTGTTTTGATTCCCAGATTTTTATAAAATTGAGTTTTCCCGTGGGAGGATCAAAAAAATGCCCTGGTTTATACTACATTGTGGGGACGCAGGGTGCCCAAAAGGTAACATATACAAAACCATAGACACAGACAAACAGGGGTTAGGAATGTCCAAAAAAAAAAAAAAACATAATGTCCAAACGTAACAGTTCAGCTTTTATTGTTCAGGATCCTCACTCCATCATGTAAAATGTTTCAGTACAGTACGATGCATGTTCATCTCAGTTCCTCATCGGAGGCTAAGGCTAGCAGCCGTGCTAGGCCAGAACACAAAGGTAAAGAGTTATAAACCACAGACACAGAGGCCCAGCTCCGGGACTGTGTGCGTGCGGATGCCGGCCTTCCCAGCATGCTCCGCTCAGCAGCCGCCCGCGCCAGCCTTGTCTAGGACTCCGTCGCTGTTGGCTAGAACATAGCAGCTTTTATCTCGGTAAAGTCAAAAGACTTGGGACAACAAGAAAGGGAAGGAGACCATCAGTCCAGTGAGAGCAGAACCTGCAGGCCAATAGGACGGTCGCCTGGCCATGGTGTGTGAATAGTACCGGGTACCAGAGCTGAATCTCACGCTCACATATATGCAGTGATGGCAAGCAAACACTCAACGCAGCTACTGTTCAAGCTCCTGCCCCCTTACTTTTATATGGTTATTGAAATGCCACATGCTGCGTGGCTGTGTGTATTATATATATATATATATGTGTGTGTGTGTGTGTGTGTGTGTGTGTGTGTGTGTGTGTGTGTGTGTGTGTGTGTGTGTGTGTGTGTGTGCCACATCCTGGTCCTGCCCCACGGCCCTTTCTTCGGTACATACTCCCAGGCATGGGGGGGTGGTGGTGGTACAGGTGAAGCCTCAGTAGCGATGGGTCTGGTGGGAGTACTGCGGAGGCTGCTGGGAGGTAGAAGAATATCCCATGCTGCTCTGGGGCAGCGACGTGCTTGGTCCCGGGTTCTGGTAGGCAGCGTGTGGATTGGAGCGCTGAAGGGAAGAAACACATTTAAAACTTGTCTACCAATGGGCAGGCAGAACTGCTCCATTCCACCAATGGGCACACAGAATCACCTGGTAGTCTGAGTTCATGATGAGGCCGCCTGAGGTAGTGGTGGGGGGAACCACTCGCACCTTCTTGAGGGGGGGGCCCTGGGCGTGGCTATTGTCCTGGTTCCCCGTGTGCCCAGCCCCGTTGGTGTGGTTGGTCCCCTGCTGCTGCTGGTTCTTCTAGGGAGGGACACACGCACACAAGGCACTATCAACACATGCAAGCTCATGCTTAGCGTCACCAGGGCCATGCCGGAGGTCCCACCTTGTCTGCTTTGTCCTCTGGCTCTTCCTCTGTCAGGAATTCACGTTTGGGGTATGGGATCTGGCACCCAGCAAAAACACTGCGGAGGGGTACAGACAGCAAGTGAGAGAGGAAGAGAGGTACCGTCAAGTTCATTACAATGTTTTCATAAGGCGCTGCTGTTCTATTGGGGAAGGAGCTGTCACTCACTCTGAGGTGGGCAATGGCTCTTCCAGGAAGTACGGGTCCTGCATAGCCAGCTCAGAGGTGATCCTGCGGATGGGGTCCATAGTCAGCAGCTTCTGTAGCTGGAAGGAAATGAAGGTGCTAGTACTGTTCTCCATCCACACTGTCGATGTACTGGACGTGTGAGCACACTGGGCTCTATGGCCCCTCCCACACAGGTACTCACCAAGTGGAATGCTTTGCTGTCGGGTTTGACTTTGTGTTTTTCCATGTACTTTGTGAGACTGCAATTTGTGTACCTGAATGCAACACAGTGACAAAAGAATTCAGCCTCAGGGCTGCTGCTTGATCTATTTAAGCCAACAGGATCTGAAACTGGCCAGAAGCAGCAAGTCAAGGTGCAAAGTCAACAAGCCCCATGACTTCCTGCACTGAATCTCCCCGCTCCCAAATGCCCCCAAATCTCAAGTGACACTCTTCCCCTAGGAGACCTACGTATTTCTTCTGAAGTCTTTCATCAAAGTCGAGTGTTCCGGCATCTTCTTTATGTCCTCCCAGTCCTTATCTGAGTGTGAAAAGGAGATACATGAAGCCACATGAAGAAAGAGACAGGGCTTTGGGTTCTCCAGAGGCTGAGAGAGTTCAGCTGATCTTGATTTTCCGAGGTGTCCTGCAGTTGGGGTATGGTACCTGCGGGGAAGCCCATGACGTTGAAGATGCGGTCTAGCTGGTCATGGTGGTACGGGTTGCTGGTCTTTATATCTTCCTGCCGACAGTGAAATATGGGCTCTGAGGTCAGCAGCTCTGCGAAGATGCAGCCGATGGCCCAAATGTCTGGGGAGCAAGAAAACAGGCCAATCACAAGACCTCTCACACAAACCACAGAACCCAAACATGCCAATCACTGGAGACCCCCAAAACTGCACAGACCCTATACAAACCATTCATACACCCACTACCCACCAGGTCACTCACCAATGGCTTTGGTGTAGTGCCTGGCCCCAAGCAACAGCTCTGGGGCTCGATACCAGAATGTAACCACCACAGGGTCCAGGTCTGCTAAAGGCTTCAATGGTGAGTTAAAGAGGCGGGCAAAGCCCATGTCCGCTGTGGGGGTTGGGGGAGTCGGAAAGGAGGGAGAGAAAGTTAGCTCTGGGAAAGTCCTTTAGCACAGCACTGAGAGTACGGCAGGCACAGGAAGTAGGAATGACCTAGTTTTTGTACACGTGACCTTTAACCCCACGCCCCTGCACACTGTCCCCAGGGGACGTACCAATCTTGACGCGTCCCCTTTCTGGGCCCTCACCCATCACCAAAATGTTAGCAGGTTTCTACGGAGACAAAAAGCGATTCACACTTTTTCCACACAAAAGAAGCTCAGGCAAACATTGAAGGGAAGCGGCCAGCCATGCATCTCAGAAAACACATGTACCGCAGCTGGAGGGGGCCCTCTGCTGGCTGGCCGAGGAACCCCACACACTGTGCACAGTAAGCCCAGTTCACATAGCCCAGCCCCGCCTCCCTCACCAGGTCCCGATGCAGCACCCAGTTGGCATGCAGGTAGTGGATGCCGTCCAGGATCTGGTAGAGCAGTGACTTCACCATCCCGCGTGGCAGCTGCAGTGGCTTCTTGTTGGCCTTGGAGGCTCTGTGGAATTTGATGATGTGCTGAAGAGGAGAGATTCAGGGAGATCGTGTCACTGCAGGGCTGTGAGGGCATGGGTGTCTGGCCAGGCAACAAAAAGGGCTCCACTCTCACCCAGAGGTCATGCTCAGCATAGTCGAAGAGCAGCCAGACCTTGCGGTCTGCATGTGACAGAAAGACCTTCTGCAAGGAGATGACATTCGGGTGCTTGAGCTCCCGCAGCAGCTGAAAAGGGAACAAAATCACACAGAATAACCGATATACAGTCACACAAAAACACAGAGGCAGCCACACACACACACACACACACACACACACACAGTCATACACAGAGACAGACACACATACAGTCATACACAGAGACAGACACACATACACAGGGACACACGCAGTGACACAAAATTGACACACAAACATGCAGACAGACGCACACAGATACACACAGAGAGACAGACACACACAGAAAGTCAAACACAGAAACGGTGACACACAGCTGCACACACAGACAGAGGCACACAGAGAGACACACAGACATACATGTACACACAAACAAAGACAGTCACACAGAAAGACAGGCCTTTGGCATGCAGACACACTCACCGCAATCTCCCGGCAGGCGGACATAGAGATGCCGGTGCCCTCAATCTGCTTCAGGGCATACTCCTTGTCATCTTTCCTGTGCAGATGCAGAGCAGTCAGACAGATGTGTACACACTGCACAGCCTGAAGCTGCAAAGTCTGTGTTCCGGTGTGTGTCGCTCTCAAAGCCAGCCCACCCCCACTGTGTGTGTCTCAGTAAAACATGGCCCTATCTGAAAGTCACATGACAGGCCTGTTCAAAGCTGATTAAACCTCCAGATGTTCTCAGCTATGACAATGTAGGTCACTTATGAACACACGCATTGACTAAGCTCAGATAAACTCCACACACTGTAATTACAGCAAGGACCAAAAATACACGAGTTCAGACAGAAAAGCGGCAGCATTTTAAACAGGACAGGCCAATCACCAGATCCCGCTGAGGACAGATTTTACAGGTGACAGGAGTCCCAACAAACAAACATCATGCTACAGAGTCTGCAGGAGGGCATCACAAGAGAGTGCTGTCAGAAAGTTTAAGATGTGCACATAAATACAGCCACCATGAGCCACCAAGAGACGGTCACCTGAATATATATTTTTTTAATTAGTAATCATGCCAGTAATGAAAAGTGACCTTCTGAACTCAAAAGCAGAACGATTTACAGTAAATTTAATTTCATTTTCTTGCGTGTATATCAAACATCATTTCAAGGTTATATATTTTCAGTGCTCTGAAGGAGGAAACCCTACTCTACCTTTGAAAAAAAAAATTTGCAGAATACATTGAACAATCACACCAAACGTTTACCAGTGACATAAACGTTACCCAGCTCAGAGATACCCCACAAATCATCAGAGTATGAAAGCGCCGACAATAATTACGACAATAAGACTATATAAAATTATTTTGATCTTAGGGCAGTTTCCAAGTCAAACTTAGTCTCCAAAAATTAATGTTATCACAGCAGAAATTAATCTTCAAAACAACAGCAAAATCCCCTCAAAGTCCACATCCCAAAATAACTCCTCCTGCAATTTGCTGAATCTGCTTCGCTTGCCATGTACCTCAGACTGGTCAGCACTGAAGCCAAGACCCCGCATCCATTCAACGCGTGTGCGTGTGTCTGAGTGGGACAGAGGCCGCGTATAACACCAGATAGCCCGATTCAAGACCACACGGATCCGCAAAACCATTAGCCGCAAGAGTGAACTGGCAGCAGTGTCTCTATGAGGAAACAGCGGAGAAACTCCACAATGACACACAGTTCCGAGAGGAGGGCTCACCGGGGGCCCTGGGACAAAGCGCAGACGCGGCGCGTAACAAGCGGCCGCAAGCCGAGGCTCGGTGCCACAGAAAAGCCCCAGCAGTGCGTGAGACCGCAGGCCAGCGCGTCTGCCTTCACCGCGAACCGAGGGCCTCAGGAAGCCGACGGAGCCGAATCGCACTCACCCGTCTTTCCGCTTTGCTTTGTACACATGGCCGTACGTCCCTCGCCCTACTTTGCAGCCCTCGTACTCAAACAAGTCCTCGACGCGCTCCCGCTCGCCAGTCAGCTTCACTTTGAAATCATAGTCCATCTTCGCCGCTCCTTCGGCCGGCCCTAACCCTCTGCGCGCTTTTAACCCTCTAACCCTGCGTTCTGGTTTTATGTTTAAAGCGCCGCTCGGGGGGGGGGGCACCAGCCGCACAACCCGGGTCCGTATTCAGCGCTGCTGTCCCTGCGTTGCTTCCACCTCAGCCGACGGTCTGCATCTACCGGCGCAGCTCGGACACGCAGGAGGAGCGCAGGCTGCTTGCCGATGGTGGGGGAGCCGGCACTGCTCACTATCTGCCCCTCGCAGGTATTATTCTGCCGCTGCGCCTCTGCCGGTATTTCACTCTGGAGAGCAGCGCGTCGGCATACGGCAGCTTCGCAAAGTGCCGTAAAATGTCGCCAAGCGTCGAAACGCAGGAAGCACCGATTGACGGCTATTTCGGTGCACCACGTGGATTTCTACAACAGAAGAAAATGCTATATATATTAAATAGTTTGTATATGTAACAAAAACATATATTTATGCAGAGCTTTCGCATACAAGTATGTGTGTATTTGTGGTGCATAAATATATCTGTAAACTAAGAAATGAAAGACAAAGAAATGTAGAATTTTTAAACATAGATTAGGTTTTTGGTACAAATGATTGAAACTATTAATTTGTATATTTGTTTATTTAAAGTTGTTTGTGTACAAATGGACATCATTTTAAAGATCCCTTTTATGGATGTGACTAAGTCAGCACCATGGACAGTACAAGCGGCCTAAAACACGGATAAACCACCTAACCAATTATAAGTTGGTGAACAAAATTAAACGGACTATTTGTGTAGTTAAAAGACACGATGTCTGTGTGTTTGGACTGAACATCTTCCGCAGCGTAAATTATGTGACCTCTTTGGCAAATGCCTACGACGTCTATATATACGGCTTATACGGTGGTATAATACTATGATATGATGCCTTTTCACTTCGGTTTTTTACACGTCTCCGTTTGGTCCGTAGATATTTTAAAATTACTGCTCTATAACCCACGTCGATACATGTTTTTAAGTATGCATTATTTGAGTGGTATAGAATACGTAATAAAGACATGTACGTTGATTTTGGTATATATTATGATATATTTAAAAATGCCATCATGTAGCCTATAAATCAGTGTTACAGTGACACAGTTTTACAGTAATTACTCTAATCTCTTCACCTTCTGTGAAGTAAGATAACCCCCCGAGAATATCAGGTTAAGTACCTTTGATCTAGAGATATATAAAAGGGTCTCTTTTATTGTCATGAGGGCTAATCTCTAGGGCCCCAGAGTCGTGCGCTAAAACGCTACGTTATTACTCGACCTCAAAACGGAAAATTACAAAAAGTTATGAGTAGTTTTCAGATGATGTTCATAATATTTAGTAAATGGCAGTTTCCATGGATCTATGCACACATAGATATTTCTAAGTCGAACTTAATAGGCTGATATAATGCTTCAGGTCAGCTAGGATCCATGGTCATAGGGCTGCTGTTGCAGGTCGGACTGTATAGGATGTAGTGCCGATGGTCCCATCTTAGCTACATTGTATTCAAGACAGCAGAGAGGAGAGCGGATCCGTCCATATTACAGCTGCTGTATCAGGTAATGTCCTATGTCTAAAACGCCTTATCATAACAGCGTAACTTATCCGAAAAGGGAAGTTTAGCCTGAATAGGTTGTCTGTCTTGCTTGAGAGTCGCTGTCACATCATACAGCTTTCCAGCTGCCAAAGGCTCGCTGTAATTACAGGGTGTTACGTATTAAATGTCCCAGTCGGCGACGCCATACAGGGACGCTGTGGCGGATTGCCGCCCGGGCCGGTTTGTCGGCGTGCTTCTGCCTTTATTGCTGTTTCGGCTTGGTTAAGGCTGCTTTGTTTCTTTATTGTCTACCACATAGCTGACTAACATGGGGCCTGACTTTCTCTTTGTCATGCCCCGCCCCCGCCCCCAGTTGTTTGGGCGCCTCGCTTGTCAGTAAACATTTCTCGGATAGTGATTGGTAGCTAAGGGCACGTCGTCACAGCGTTGCTTTGCTCCAGTGCATTTTTTTCACAGTGGCCTACTCTGTGTTCAATATGAATGCCTTAGAAAATTACCAGATTTCCTGCGCTACCAGCTTTAACCGCGATCAGGTCGTTCGTGCTGGCTAGCCGAGGCCCCTGTATCGTAAATAAAGACGTTGACATTCTGCATAAATGGCACCCAGCGAGCGGTTCAGACAGTTGAAAGTATCTTCCGACCTAATCTCCTGCGCAGTCTCGGCCTGTTTCTCGTCTTTCTTTCTGACGACAGCCTCCCGTGTGCGATTAAGCTGTCGGATATTGCGTAATGGCGGTAAGCTAATTGTCTGGCACTTGTGAAGGTCGTATCAGCCTGAGTGTAACCGCACCGGTGTTTACAAACGTTACAAACAACGCAGACCAGGCAACCCCGTGGGACTGGTTGACTGGAGCATTATGCCATATCTGCACTGAGCCGTGATTTAAGGGTGTTCTGCATGGTCGAGCTCCTGCTGTGTGTATTCAGGTGACTGACAGCTCTTCCACAAGTGGCCCCGGTGCCAGGATGGACCCCCCTGGAGCACAAGATGAGAGGGGGCTCCAGCAGGAGCGGTTGCGCAGGGAGGAAGCGTATTACCACTTCATCAACAGCCTGACAGAGGAGGAATACCGCCTGATGCGGGACAGCAACTTGTTGGGCACACCAGGTGAGTGCCCCCCTCTGACAGCAGGGAAGCCACCACCCCTCTCCAAGTGAGAGTAACTCTCCCCTCTCTGTGTCCCAGGCGAGGTGACGGCCGAGGAGCTCCGGCAACGTTTAGATGGTGCTAAGGAGCGGCTTTCGGTGCAGCCACACCCACCGAGCAGCGAGGTGGGAGTGGAGGACGGGAGCAGCGGTGAGGGCTTATACTGCGAGGGTGGCTAGAGGGATTGTATGTGTGTTTGCATAGGAAGATGAACCTAACGCATGGTGGTGTATGTCTGTCAGGAGCTGCAGGAGAGGCATCTCACGGGGATTCTCTACTTGAGTGGTTGAACACGTTCCGGCGCACAGGCAACGCCACACGCAGCGGGCAGAGCGGCAACCAGACGTGGCGCGCAGTGAGCCGCACCAACCCCAACAGTGGCGAGTTCCGCTTCAGCCTGGAGATCAATATCAACCATGAGCAGCCGGAGCCTGCTGACCCGCCAGGCCCCACCCAGGCCCTTCCTGGCCCCACCCAGGCCCTTCCTGGCCCCACCCAGCCACAGCCTGGCCCCGCCCGTCTTACACATTACCCCCCTGCCCGGCACACTGTCACCCCCTCGGCCCGGCTGGTCCAGAGCAGGAGGCACCAGGCAAGACGCGGCCGTGGGAGCCCTGCCCCCTTCCTGGCCATTCCTGAAGCCAGTGGCCTTCCAGAACCTGCGACAACTCACACCACCCCTGACCCACCCTCCTTTACCCCCCTGGGACAGGGTGGTATCAACACTGCAAATGCAATCGGCGAACCAGAGCCACCTCCTGCTCTGGAGTGCCCCCGAGTGTCAGCCCATCCCCTCCCCCCAGAGGCCCCGACCCTCCCTCAAGAGGCGATGCCCACCCACGAGCCTCGCAGCAGCCGGACTCGAGCAAGAGGGCGTGGCCGCAGGATCCGGGCAGGCAGCCTGGCTGGTGGTCACCGCAGGGGGTCACAGCGCAGCCGCTCCCCGCTGCACCGGGGCCACACCCAGGAGCAGCCACCAGCTGCCGCCATGGAGACTGAGGAGCCTGCCACCAACGAAATGGCAGATGCCACCCCGGACGAGGTGGACTCACAGGCCCCCAATGCAGGTGGCGCCGCCCGCCGGCACCCCACGATCATGCTGGACCTACAGGTGCGGCGGATCCGGCCAGGAGAGAGCCGGGACAGGGACAGCGTGGCGAGCCGCACACGCTCACGGCTTCGCATGGCCGAGAACACAGTGACCTTCGAAAGTGACAGTGGAGGCTTCCGGCGCACCATCTCTCGCTCGGAGCGTGCTGGCGTGCGCACCTATGTCAGCACCATCCGCATCCCGCTGCGCCGCATCTCCGAAACGGGCCTGGGCGAGCCCAGCTCTGCTGCCCTGCGCTCCATCCTGCGTCAAATCATGACTGGCTTTGGTGAGCTCAGCTCCCTCATGGAAACGGAGGCTGATGCCGAGGCGGGTGGTGCTCCCCCACAGGCCCTCCGTGATGGCGGAGGCCCAGGGCCCCGGGAGCCGGCTGAAGGGCATGCCAACAATGGGGCAGGGCCCATGGAGGAGGAGGAGGAGCGGAGGCGGACAGGCGGGGCACCGGGCAGGGACACCAACAACCTGGTGGAGAATGGCACGCTGCCCATTCTGCGTCTGGCACACTTCTTCCTACTGAACGACGAGGAGGATGAGGAGCATCCACGAGGCCTGACCAAAGAGCAGATCGACAACTTGTCCACGCGCACCTATGGCCAGGCTGGCCTGGAGGCGGATGTAGGCCGCGCCTGCAGCGTGTGCATCAGCGAGTATGCACAGGGCAACAAGTTGCGCCGGTTGCCCTGTGCACATGAATTCCACGTCCACTGCATCGACCGATGGCTGTCTGAGAACAACACTTGCCCCATCTGCAGGCAGCCTGTGCTCCATGCCCACCGGGGCTGACCCCACCCTCCGGCGGGTGACCCCCGCCCACTCCATTCTAACCGTCATCAGTTCAGCTTCATTGTTCTACAGAATTAAGTCAGTTCGTTAAATTAAGAGCAGAGCCAAAAACCAAACATGACAATAACCCAGAGAGGTAACAAAACTTTATTTTTTTAGACTTTCAGTTCCAGAACTTCCTTGCTAGGACGTCACAGATGGCTTCTCTTAATTTCAGCATCACATCACGAAGCATCTGGTTGGTTTGAGAAATGAGTCCTGCAGCTGACCAATGTCCCAGCCCCCACAGACTGAGCATTAGCATGTAAATAATCAGTGAACAGACATGAACTGCACTATGGTTCTGCCAGCACGTAGTGTCTTGCAGCTGTTCATGCATTGCAGAGTGGCGGCCTGCGGGGGCACTGTGACCATGCCTCCTGTGGACTGTCCCTCCCATGTTGGGGCTGCAACCCTGCGTGCTCACAGGAGCTGTCTTGTGCTGTTGGCTTTGTAAATAACCTGGCGAATGTAGGCGGCGTCCATTCGTATGTTGCCTCTAACAACAAGCCAAACTGCTCAGTGCTGGCTGCAGCTGGCACACCTACTCCCTAAAGCTGTGAGAATTTATTCAGACACCCTGTACTGCCCCCTACTGGTAATATAAATGTTCCATTATTGACAGTGTTTGGGTAACAGTGCCAATGGTGGTCATATTGTTCTTTGTACTCAATGAGCATATTACATGTTGTACCCAGACACCTAAAGGGTCAGTCCCTGTGCCCCCCAAAGCATAGCACATGCACATCCCTGTTCTTACCAGAAGGGGGCAGCAGTACAGCCCCAGAAATACATGAATTATCTCTTGAATCCATTTTCATCCATGTTTCTCTGTGACCACTTTGGGGATGGACATTAAGGTATGTGCTAAAAACCATCATGTTCTTTTGCCCTGTGGAAGTTCTGTTATATTTGCTGTTGCTTCCTTACTTGGCCTAGAGTTGGGTTTCTGTCTTACCTGAAGGTCAGGATAAACTCAATAAAACAGAATCAACAGATGCGGCCGGTGAACAGTCATCTGTGTGTGAGTCTGCCCACAGCACTGATGCAAATGAGTGTTTGCTCATTTGTAAGAGGCTGTTTGACTGCAAACCATTAGTCCAGAGCAGCCAGGAGAGACTCCCCGAGAGTCAGAGCTCTGCTGCACCATCTGTGTGTTCAGGAAACACTGATAATTGCTTTTGTTGTGGCACCTTACCTGGTTTGTTCAATACAAAGGTTCCACCTTCCACTTTTACCTGTTATTTGTAACTCTATCCACTGACTTTCTGTAACTGCATAGCCAGTTAAGGGTTACGGTGAACATGGAGCCTGTTCCTGGAAGCACAGGGCAGCGGGACACCTTGATCAGGATGCCAGCCATCACACTCACACTGCAGGAAAATTAAAGACACCAGTTCACCTAAACCAAGCACCTTTGTCATGGACAGAAAGAAAAAAATATATGAAACGTCTGAATATAAATTAAATATTGAACCTGATAAAATGACAGGTTGGGTGTGCTTTCATAGTATATAGGCACACTGTCCTTTGCCGTTTATTTTTCATTCTATAATCTTCAGAGTCTGCAGTGCTTCACCGCAGCAGACCCCGACCCTGCTGCAGGATGCGTGCACACGGGCAGGCGTGCATTTTGTTTGTTCCATCATTCGGGATAGAGTCGCTGCATCTGCTGCTGGCTCGGCGGCGCTCGGGACTCCCGCTGTGCGAGGCACGCAGCGCGTAGCCACGGAGACGGATGAGGTCACAAATCCCCTCGCGCCGGGACGGATGCGCGTCATTCTGCGGCGGAGTGCAGGAGCGCCCGCGCGCAGCCGAGCGAGCGGCGGTCTCCTGTCCCTTGTGTCCGTCTGCCGTGTCCGCTTGCCCTGAGCATGCCATCAAGTCCACGGTCCCCCGGCAGCCCGGCTCAGACGTGCTCACCATGTATTTCAATAGGCGTTCGAAGAAGATCCACACGGAGGGAGGTAAGCATCGCGTCAGGGCGCCGCGGTCATTAATCACTGCATTCATCATTTTAACATAGCAGGTATGTACGCCGGCTACGCGCATATAATGGCGTATTATACAAAAAAGCGCTAGTGCCGAGGATGTTGCTTGTGCTCCGTGCGCCCCGCGGTTATCTTGACAGGCTGTCAGTGAGAACGGGTTTCCCCGGACATTAATTTGTGGTCACCGCGGCCACCCGAGATGGTGATGGCGAAGCCGCTTCAGCACCACAGAGGGACACCGCTGGCCGCAGAGAGAGGCTGGTTTTAAACATTTTCTGGGCACGCGGCAGCATTTATGTGGAGACAATGTGCGGATACTGAGGCGGATTTAGCAGAGTAAGCACCCCGGGAGCCTAAGATAATCTCACCTGTTGAGGTCACAAGGAGGCTACGCGGCGTCACGAGCTGACACGCGTCTATGTTTCGTACGCCTCAGCATCTCCGCGCCCCCGCGGTCCTTTGGTCCTAGCGTCGTGCGCGCCCGCGGGGCCGCGCCTTTCTCGCGCTCGTAAGTAACACGCCGCTGGGCTCACCAATTTAACTAGAGAATCTGAGAAAAAACGTAAAATGTCGCCAAAATAAGGTAAATTGAAATGAAAGAGTATAGCGTGGCCTGAAGTTGGTCTGCTCTCGGTGCTGGTCCTGTAACATAGATACCGACTGCGTGCTTACGGGTATCGGCATGAGAAGCGGCATTTATGGCACTCTCTATAATTAAATTCAATTCATTTTTTATATAGCACCTTTCACAAGAGTTGCCCCGAGGTGCTTTACGTGGCGGTGTTCTTTTCCATTCCTGCATCATTTATACAGAATAAGTAAAAAACAGGGAAAATGGAAGACATAGAAATGAAAGAAAGAAAGTCAGATAATGACCGAAGAGAGCAGCTAAAAACTCCCACCCTGGGCACCATCCAGACATGTGGGAAGGAAGGCAGAGAGCATGGGTGCTCAGAATATTCACTGATACATTAATATGAGCACAGCACAAACAAGCACAGTAGATCAAAAGGGCATGTACAGAGGTACCAGCAGCCATATTTACAGCGTGTTATGTGTTAAGTTGCTGGTTAGCTAAACTAAAGTAATAGGCTTGTAAACTTGGAGTATTTCTGTAAGGTAGGCAGGTGCTAGACCTTTAAGTGCTTTATATGCATGTAGGAGAACTTTGAAGTCAGTCCTGAACCTAACAGGAAGCCGGTGCAGGGAACTAAGAGCAAGGGTTATGTATTTGAACTTACTGCTCCTGGTGACAGTTCCAGCTGCTGCATTTTGAATATGTTGCAAGTTATCTAATGTGCAGTGTGTTCTCCCAGATAACAGAGCATTATAGTATTTTAACCTACTGTATACAAAAGCATGTATACGATATATATGATCTTAATTTAATTAGTGACTGGGCTGACACCTGGCAGATGAAATTTAACACTGACAAATGTAAGGTACTGCATGTAGGGAGCAGAAATATAAAGTACAGGTATTTTATGGGACCTACTGAAATAAAGGTAGCTGATTATGAGAAAGACCTTGGTGTGTATGTTGATGCTTCCATGTCTCATTCTCGCCAGTGTGGGGAAGCAATAAAAAAGGCCAATAGGATGTTGGGGTATATCTCCAGGTGTGTGGAGTTTAAGTCAAGGGAGGTAATGCTAAGATTATACAATTCCTTGGTGAGACCTCACCTAGAATATTGTGTACAGGTTTGGTCACCATATCTTAAAAAGGACATAGCGGCCTTAGAAAAGGTGCAGCGTAGGGCCACAAGAATGATTCCTGGTCTTAGAGGAATGTCATACGAGGAAAGGTTATTTGAGCTAAATCTGTTCAGCCTCAAGCAAAGGAGACTGAGGGGGGACATGATCCAGGTCTATAAGATTCTAACAGGTTTGGATGCTGTTAAACCGAATAGTTACTTCAGCATTAGTTCAAATACAAGAACTCGTGGCCATAGGTGGAAACTAGCGGGAGAACATTTCAAACTGGATTTAAGGAAGCACTTCTTTACACAGCGTGTAGTCAGAGTATGGAATAGTCTTCCTGATAACGTAGTGCAAGCTGAATCCTTGGGTTCCTTTAAATCAGAGCTAGATAAGATTTTAACAACTCTGAGCTATTAGTTAAGTTCTCCCCAAGCGAGCTCGATGGGCCGAATGGCCTCCTCTCGTTTGTATAGTTCTTATGTTCTTATGTTCTTATGTTCTTATGTATTCATTTCTCAGTGTAATAAGGAAATGTTGTAGTTTGTCAATGTTACATAGCTGTAGGAAGAATACCTTCAATACTGCATCCACATGAGATTTGAATGAGAAGCTTGTTTCTAAGGCGATGCCTGAATTATGTGTTCAGCCCCTCAGAGCAGAGATTATAGCAGGCCAATCCGCGTACTGGCCTCCAAACAACAGAACCTTGGTTTTCTGTGCATTTTGTAACAAAAAGCTTTCGTTCAACCAGGTCTTAATTAAGGGTGGAGTGGTGGCTCTGAGGCTCGGGATCTATACTAACAACTGGAAGGTTACTGGTTCAAGTCCCATGAATGTCCAGAGTAATTTTACTCCATTGGGCCCTTGAGCAAGGCCCTTAATCTGCAGTTGTTTCGTCCTGGGTATGATGTTAATTTACATCCAGCCCTATAAGGAGGTCCTCCAAACCTTGGGGGTTGGTGGCAGAATTAGCACTCCAGCCACTGGGAAAAACTCACACTGGTCCATTCAAACTGGTGTGGTGCTGAGGTATCACCTGCCACATGGCTGCGCTCAGGTTCTCACCCCTGAGGTGGTTTGTCATGTGATGGGTGCAGCAACACACTGTATCAGTGCATGCTCCTTACCTCTTAACTTCATCAAATAAATTAGCTAAAGTGACAATAGATGCGGTGTCATTAGGCATAAATGAAATGTATATTTGGGTGTCGTCGGCATAGGAGTGATAATTCACATTGTGCAGTCAATGTGATTTTTTAATTCTTGTCTCAGAAAAAAAGAAATACACATTGAAACATGATTTTATAGTAGGATGTATGCAAAAAAGTAAATATTTAGATTTAAGAAAGTAAGGGTTCAGTACATGTAATCTTGTCTCTGTTAGCACACAGCTTACTGTGGTAATATTGTGATCGGCTTTGAATGCCTCATGGAATGTCCCTCTACTGGGCACAGAGCAGGGGGGTGTTTTGACAGTCATGCCGTTCACTGTGAGTGTCAGATGGTCTGTGAAAGCAGCTTGGAGTTTAGCTTTTCGTCCTTCTGTGTGTCTGTAATGATGGAGCAGAGCAGAAGGAAACTGGGGCAGTGAGGCAGTTACTGGGGCAGTTACTGGAGTGATGCTGCGTACCACAAGTGAAAGGTACAAGGAAGGTACCACAAGGAAGTTATCTGGTTCACCTGTGCAGGGGCTGGATAAGCTTGGCTGTGCCAATCACCCCGTTAATCCCCGCCGACCTGTCTTACTCACTTAATCATCCAAGCTGTTTTCTCCACAAGATGAACAATCACCATGGTTACTAAACTGGCCAGCACATTTCAAGAGTAATTCAAATTGTCATCGAAATAATATCACATCTTGTGGCATGGAGCTGAGGTGATTCAACATCTACAGAAGAATTCAGATCAGTCACCTGGATTAAACTTCATGCAGCTTCAGGAAGCAGCACCTAAAACAGAAGTGCAGTGTGTTGTGCAAGAGAACATGATGTGTTATTGGACTTCATATAAAGGCTCCATCTCAAATACAAGTACAGTGGTACCTCAGAACTCGAACTTAATCCGTTCAGAACTTGGGTTCTAATCCTAAAAAGTTCGAGTTCTGATCGAATTTTCCCCATAAGAAATAATGGAAAACCAATTAATTGGTTCCTGGCCCCAAAAAAATTGCACTTAAATATGTTTTTTTTTTTTAGCATTTAAACACAAAATGAACAGGATAAAACAAGAAGAGCATATACTATACTAAACACATCTAAGCACATTTATCAAAACAGTAATTTGTAAAGTATGAAAATAAATGTATCCAAACAATGTGTATAGTTAAAAAAAAAACCAATGTGTCCTGCCCCGATCATCCGCTCCTCCCGTGAGCCATGCCCCCTCGTTAACCTCGTGTGGGATCCCGTGTGATCAGCTGTTTCTGGTTGTCATTAGTCCTCATTATTTAGTCCGTGTTTCAGTTTGTTTCCCCAGTCCGGTCATTGTATTGTCCGTCTGCATTTTGCCTGCCTTACCTGTAATTAAACCTCGTATTCCCCTAACGTCTGCGCCTTTGTCTCCATTCTGTCCCCGCTCGACACAACAATATTATTATATTTAAATGTATTAATGGTTTATTATTAATGATTTTAAAATAATTAATAATAAATCTTTCATTTCAAATGTATTTTATTATACAATTATTATTATTATTATAATTAAATGTATTAATGGTTTATTATTAATATTAAAATAATTAATAAGAAATCTTTATTTTAAAATATATTTTATTATATAATAATTACTGTTACTGTCTATCATTGTCTAAATGTACAGTATTTTTACTGTCTAAATATAAGTATCCAGCAAGTGTAAACATGTACGATGCTATCACAGCAAATGCGAGGCTGAAGCGTTACCCTTTGTTTCCGCTGAGAGGCATGCTGCATGACTCATTTCCCCACGCGTACAAGTTATCTTAGGTCGGCATTCACGGTTCGACTTCTGAGACTCAGATCGAGTTTTAGGTAATTTTTTTCCAAACTGGTTGGTTCGACTTTTAAGAAATTCGAGTTCTATTGAGTTCTAGTACTGAGGTACCACTGTAATTACAAGCACACTCAGCTGTGACTGTAACAGTATTCCAGTGGCTTCCACTGGGGCCAGTTGTTCTGTTAGGGGGGATAGATGCATTTGACGTTAATGTCCTCCAAGTATTACTTACATTAGGTTGCCAGCATTAAGAAGCAAAAGAAAATTTTGAAAACCAGTAAGTTATTTATGCAATGTTTTGCA